CCGCATCAGGCTCTGTGCTGACAGCTCGGAGCCTGGAGTCTGCTTCAGATTCTGTGTCCCTCTCTCTCCTCCCCTCCCCTGCTTGCACTCTATTTCTCAGAAATAAATAAACGTTAAAAAAAGAAAAACTAAAACACTTTCACTTGCTTTTATTCTTAAACTAATTTCACTTTCTACACAATTCCAGGCTGACATTTGGTTTTTCAATGCTCTGAAAAGAATATTCCACTATTTTCACTGTTAATATTGAAAAGTCAGCTGTTAGTCTTTTATAGACAATTAGTCCTTTCTCTTTGGGTAGTTTCAAGATGTTGTCTTTGGTGGTCTATAGTTTCACTACAATGGTTCTATGTATACTTTTATTTATATTTATCCTTTATGGAGAATATCCTACCTCCTGGATGATTTTTAATCTCTGGGGGAATTTGCAGCCATTATCTCTGCAAGTACTGCCTCCCTTCCATTCTTTACTCTTGGGTCTCCACTCCATCTTCCATATCTCTTAACCTTCTTTTCATATTTTCCATCTCATCTTTTTATCTATTTGAGATTGATTTTTCATATATATCATTCAGTTCTCCAGTTGCCTCTTCAGCTGTCTAATGTGTTAACACTTCACTGAGTTTCAAATTTGGTCAGTCACGTACTTCATTTTTGGATTTTAAAAATGTTTGTTAATTTCTTTAAAATTTCATTGTACTTGCTTATCCTGGTAATTTTAGGTATATAAATATTTTGTACATAACTATTTTATATTTTGTATCTGAGAATTTGAATATTTGCAATATTTTGGAGGGGATATAGAAATTTACTATTTTTGTTGGCTCTCATTCAAGGTAGTTTCCCATTTCTCATGTGTTGCGTGACCTTTAACGGTGTATTACTTGATCTTAATTTGTGGAAGTCCTATGTTCCCATTCTGGAGAAACTTTCATTCACAAAGTATTTGATTCTACTGGTAGAAAAACAACGACCTGCAAACCAGAACTTGAGCTCCTCTAGAGGATTTAAACATAGAACAAAAGTCTTACTGCTATTGCAGGGTTTGTTATCTTCATAATGGCGTTGCTATAGGAATCCATCCTTGGCAACCTCGCCTCTTCTGAGTGTTTGCATTTCCAAAGCTAGATCCTTGCCATTCTGGCTTTTACCCTTTCCACCTTCCTACTTCTCTGGCCTACTTTGTGGACTCAAGTTCCAATCCCAAACTCTGAGTACTCTCACTCTTGTGCTTGGGCACTCCTCCTTAATTCTTAGGTACTAAAGCTATAGTTTGTCCAGATCCATGCTCAAGTGTGTCTGTTTGTTTTGGGGTGGGAGGTTGCCAGACACCACTCTTACCTTTCATGAGACCAGCAGTGCCTCCAATTATGTGTCTTACTGGCAGTCTTGGGAGCTTCTATTTAGTCATGATACTAGAAGTGGAAATCATGCAAGATTTTTGACACTTTGAAGTTATTTAAGAACTTATCTCTATTTATATATGTATATATTTATATACATATGTTTATAAATACATATACTTATATACATATAAGGCCAATACTTGGAGATACAGCAGATCTCAAAAGATAGCTAGAAAGTAAGAATTTTAATTAAGATTATGATCCATGATTTGGCATTTGATCCTCTGAGTCTCTCATACTCACCCTCAGTTGCTTTGGAAAGATCAGTAACACCTGTAAAATTTTTGTTAGATTTGAATCTCTAATGCAGCTTTCACCTAGTTAACATATAATGGCAATTTCCACTGTGACCTCAGTTTGTGCTACAGGGATAGCACAGACCTATCTTAAAATATTCCTAATAATTCCTAATATTCCTTAAATATTCCATTTGTAATAGTTGAATAAGAGGACTATATAATGACTAGCATTGTTTTCATTTACCTATTTTCTGAAAGGTCAGGTCCTAAAAATAAAGTAAGTTACCTCAAACAAAAGGATACTACTGGTATCCTGAATTACTGGTGCTTGAATTTTAATGTATACTATTCCTCATTTATTAAGATTTTGATTTTTCTTCAACTTTCTATCCACATTGTCTAGCACACAGAAGGCATTATATATATATATATATATATATATCTCCC